GATGAAATAGTAGCTTAATACATATTTATGAATGAAGTCTGATCCATCTGCAGAAAGTCTGTAAGAGTTCAGAGATATTATACATCTATAAGAAATAAATGAGTATTGACTCTTATAGTTTTCCTAAGAATATCTGAAGAATTTCAACTCAAAGGTTCTGAAATATTTTTAAGATTTTAAGTAACCTCATCAAAGGTGGGACTTGAACTCACAACTCTGGAGATCAAGAGCCACATGCTCTACCGACTGAGCCAGCCAGGTGCCCCTTAAATTGAAATTCTTAAGCCATATATATTTTGAAAAAGTTTAGTAATTTTTAAATTTTTATACTTTTTTTCTTGGAATTTAATAGGTACTTATATACTGGGCTGGTAACAATGCTAGGAAGTCCTACTTCTACAAATGTCACTTTCAGTATCTGCATGGCTTTTAAGTGTCTGTCTTACACAAAGCCCCTGGGTTCCATATTCCTGACTCCACTTATAACTACATATTCAAATGTGAAAATATGAAAAGTGCTTACCCGTTCTGATAAAGTTGCCTCACCCGTAACATGTGAGAAAACGATCATATGCAATATGAATCAAAATGCAACATGTAAATTATTGTTGCTTTACTATGGCTTCAACAGGACTGGTTTCCTTTAGCAATTGTCACGTGTAGATTTGGATTAATACTAGTAAATTTTCAAGGAAAAAAATATACCAATGAGATTTTGTTTCAGAAAAACAATAAACAATTCTCAACTACATGGCTAACTACATCCATGTACAAATGTGTTTACATACACCTCAACTACTGAAAGCGGATTGGGAGAAAAACCTTACTAAATACATTCAGGAACACTTTAGGAAGAGCTAGGTTTTGAGAAAACATTCAGATCAGAAATATGCATTTAACTTATAAATTCCTTGCTTCTTGATATTCGAGGTGTCAACCAATTTTTCACTGGATTTTCAACCCGTAAAAAGGAGTTGTAAATTTAAGAAAAATGAGAGTGTGATTCCAAGACAAATACATCACAAAAGTGTGAATAAGAAAGAAATGCGTTGTTCCAGCATAGGCAGGTATTCCTCTTAATTTATGGAACCGTTTGTCCTGCTTGTAAAATTCCATTTTTTATGGAAAGGAGAATTATTGCTGCTGTAAGATGTAACAAAATGGCTAAACGCCTGAGGAAAATATAATAAGGACATTTGGGTTAAGAATATAATAACCAAAAGCTTTCCCTGGGAAGTTAGACAAAGTGATACTAGGTTTTTGTTTTTTTTTTTTAATAAATTGGGAACGATTGCCAATATTAACTATAATAATCTTAATGCTACCACATATGTTAATGTAATCTCTAAAAGACTGAACAAATGGTCAATATGTACTAATAGTTAAAATCATCACTGAAATTCTACAACTTTTTTCCTAATTTGAAAAATATCCGTTTGCCTAATTTGGGCTAAAGATTAAATATCCCCATGACTTTGGTTTGCTACATAGAATCAAACAAGATGAGAATGTTGAAGAGAAAGAGGATGTAACTAGACAGTACTGGCTGTCCCCTCAATCCACCCCCCCACCCCACCCCTTTTTTTAAAGGAACAGAAACCCAATTCTACTTAATAATGTTTCCAGCTAAACACAAGATTTTCCAGGCTGCTGCCCACCTAGGTGTGGTCTAAATGATATGCTTTTGGCCAATAAAATCTAAATGGAATAATACTGGGAAGAACCCCAAGGAGAGTGCTTTATTCTTGGATTAAATGAAACAGATTTAGCTGTCATTCCCCTTTTACTTTTAGTTTCCGCCTCTCCTTTTATCTTCTGGAATGTCTTTGTGATGCATGGGAGTGCAGAGCCCTGTTGCAATTGAGGATGAAAGTCACTTTTCAAAAACCACAGGCCCCATAGGTAGATGGTGCCTGAAGCATTGATGACAACGTAGGGCCACTGCCCTAGTTATGGGTTCCTGTTATAGGAAGAACATAAATCACTTCTGCAATGTTTCTTATATACTTTTAAACACAGAGAGCAAGGAGAAGGGGAGTGGGGGAAAGACAATAAATCCATGTCGTTTAAAAAGAGGACATAAAAGATTTTTAACGCAGAGAGTAATTGTGAACCTTATCTTCATGCTCAAGAAATGACTTCAAGAGTCATGACATAGGCGGTCCAAGCAGCAGACGAAAAAAGAACAAAAGGGCATGTTGAGTCAGGCCTCTTTAAAAAGGCCTTCTCAGAATCCTGATTCAGTAACCTGTACTTGGACCAGAAGAGTCACATGTCCACGCCTCTTCTAACAAGGAGCCTGGGACTAAATCGCTTGGCCTTGGTACAGACCGCCCCAACAAGTCTGGCTTTCTGCTGGTAACCGAAAAAATCAAATTGGCTTCACGAATGCTTCAGTGAAGCTCCATTTTAAAGTAACCTTTTTCTCTCTTCTGCAAACCTCCCCACCTCCCTTCTTAGCTTTTCGTTTCAGGAATCTGGTACCACCCTAAACACATCACAAAGGAAGCCGGCTGCAAGTATATGATTCCACCAAAATCAGTTAGATCTTGTATTTCCCTCTTAACTCCCCCAGCCCCTTCAAAAGCTGCTTTATTGTTGCAATATCAAGCTCATAAAGTGAGTATATTTTCTTTCTACTACTCACTTGAAAATTCGGGGGCAATTCTTGCTTTCAAGATATTTCAGTTATTTATTTTTTTAAATATTTTATTTATTTGGGAGAGACACAGAGACAGAGGCAGAGACATGGGCAGAGGGAGAAGCAGGCTCCCTCGGGGGAGCCTGATGGGGGAACTCAATCCCAGCACCCTGGGATCATGACCTGAGCCAAAGGCACTCAACCACTGAGCCACCCGGGTGCCGTATTTCAGTTATTTTTCAATATATGTTGGCAATGTTGCACTATGACCTTAGGCTCAGCAAGAACCAAACTGAAGTAATGGCTGGATCAGTAATTATGAATCTTGAAGTGGGGGAATGGGACTTTCTCTCTCCAGAATCCTGGCTAAGACAGGCATGTTTTTGTTCTCCTAGTGGGCTCATCCTTCCTACCACTGTTTCATTCAGGGTGAAAATTTTATGCTCTGAGTCCCTTTGGACCATTGTTTTTTGAGACAGTCTCAGTTCTAAGTGTCCATCTTACTTCTTTCCACCTCCATCTTTTAAAAACACTGCTTCTTGGTTACTGGGATGGTTTTAAAACAGGTCTGCAAATTCTTTGACATTTCCCCCAACTAGTAGATTCATGTGTCAAATTGTGGTTGTTTAAAGAAATGTCACTAAGTTCTGGACTAGTTTTTTTTGCAGTCACAGTAACTGGCACACTTAGGGTGAGGACATCCCCTTGACCACGGAAAGCTCACCTTTCTAGCTTTCAGTTTCAGTTTGTGAACCATGGGGATTTTACCTTTCCAGAAACATTTTTCACTGAAAAATAAAACTGTATTCAGGGGGGAAATATATAGCCTTAAAATTTTATTTCAGAAAAATCTTGTTTAAAAGTTTGAAAATCAGGGCAGCCCGGGTGGCTCAGCAGTTTAGTGTTGGCTTCAGCCCAGGGCATGATCCTGGAGACCTGGGATTGAGTCCCATATCGGCCTCCCTGAATGGAGCCTGCTTCTCCCTCTGCCTGTGTCTCTGCCTCTCTCTCTCTGTCTGTCATGAATAAATTTAAAAAAAAAAAAAAGTTTGAAAATCAGCAATAGGATAAAGAACCTAAGTATCTGGGCCTAGTATATTTGTGTCCATGACATAAATTCAGCTATAAATTCAATTTCCTTAATTATAGGCTTTTCAAGTTTTGATTTCCTCAGTCCATTTCTATAAGCTATTCAGAAAATTGTTCATTTATCTAAGACTTTGATTTACTGGTATTTAGGATATTCTCTTTTATTTTTTAAAAAAAATTAACGTAGGATTTTATCTCCTTTTAATTCTGCCTTCTATGTTTTCCTTAAACTCAATATTTCTATTTTATTCAACTTTACTAATAACTTTTGACATTTTTTCTCTATTGAATCTTTAAAATTTTTTTCAATTGTTTTTGTTCTCTACAACTTTAATAAATTCCTTCTGACATTTAAGTCCTCCTCAAAGTTTAAGATGTTTCTCATCTCCCCCCTCACCACAAAATATTTTAAGTGATCTACATATCATGTATTCTATTTTTAAGAAGTGATGTTATGAAAGGAATAGAAAGTTGTAGCGAAAAATTAGAGTAAGAACTAAGTTTTTAGAAGTTTAAGGTGTGCTCTTGGGAGTTACCTGCAGAAATTGAGGGGCAACAGAGGTCACTGAATGAAGAAAAGAAAGATACTTGGTTGTCTGATGTATAACCAAATTGTTATATGAGTATTTCTCACCCTTGCGGCAAGAGTTGAGATGACTAAAGAGTCTTTAGTTCAGTGTAACTCCTGAATGATGTGAATGAGTGACTCTTCAAAATAGATTAATGAAAAGGAGGGCAAGAGGGTAGGAATTTGAAGGAGAGGATTCTCTAGGAGGGTAAAATAATAATTAAGCTTCAAAAGGCACGGTTGGAAGAATGAGGACTCTGCCTCCTGGCTTCATGGTCAGTAATATAAGAGTAAAGGACAGATTTCCATGCATGGAGGCCGCAGAAAAAGCAGAGGTTTCTAGTGGAAATCCAGGTTTCAGTTTAAGAAGGAAAGTAAATGTAAGGTTCTTATAGACTATAATTACAGAGAACTTTTGAAGTGCAATGAAGTTAAGATTTTGCAACAAGAGTGGAAAGCTGAGCAGGAGAGGAATGTAATGGGTAAGTGGAAGCGTAATATAGCCTCGGGAATTGCAGCTGTGAGAGGTATGGATGGAATATTCCCATGAACACAGACTATTCAGGGAGACATCAGAGGGTACTGGTGAGCTGATGTGGGGGTGGCTTGGATTGGCATGTGGAACAATCTCAATAGGTGCTATATAAACCTGAGTCTAAGTGGAAGACAGCACTGAGTGCCTTGTCCTTCTTCCTATCATCAGGGCTGGTCAGTGTTTTTTCATTACTGCCTGAGCCTGGACTTGCTGAGTCCCATCTGCTGTTAAGCCCGGGTCTCACAGTTAATACAAAGTGAGAGTACCCTTGGGTACTTGGTTATTGCTGGTAAGTAAAGGCAGCATCTGGTAAGTAGGCTTCATGCGTATGAATGCTTGGTCCAGATTAAAAGTTCTATTATCAGATCTTTTAAGATGGAGAATTCAAGCATGAATTAGGGTTTTAGTGAATAATTCGGGCAGTGAAAGAAAGCTGGTACTTCAAGTATAGGGAGCTAAAAGCACCAGCTTGGTGTTAGGTTGTATTGGCTGGCATTCTTTCTCTTTGTTTTGGAAAGCAAGGAGGAGTTTTTTCGGGTAATGGGAATGAAATAATAGAGACCCTATGTGAAGCATCAGACAAGGATACTTCTTTCCGGGTAATCCTTGTTATTCTCTTCAACAGGCTTTTTAGCTATTACACTGTACATTTTCAACATTAATATTCCCATTTTCTCCCTTAAATTACCCAATAAGAATGATATAAAAGTTATTTCCAGTACATTTTCATTTAAGGATAATGATCACTAATGACTACAAAGCTGAGATTTCCTTAAGAAAGTGAATATAGCTAAAAATGAGCAAGGCTGGTGTTAGTGATAAATACTAAAGATTAGCCTTCTTATTGGGGTAGAAAAAAAGATATTTCGATGGCTAATTTGTAATGAAAATTAAAATAAAACCTATAGTTGCTAAATAGTTCTAGGCCAGCTACTGCTTACAAACAACTTTTGTTTTTCTTTTTTTTTTTTAAGATTTTATTCATTATGAGAGAGAGAGAGAGAGAGAGAGAGAGAGAGAGAGAGAGAGAGGCAGAGACACAGGCAGAGGGAGAAGCAGGCTCCATGCAAGGAGCCCCATGTGGGACTCGATCCCAGGATCACGCCCTGGGCCAAAGACAGGCACCAAACCCCGGAGCCACCGGGGATCCCCAACACTTGTTTTTCTATATTAAATATTCATCAGTCTTTTTTTCTAACTGCAACTTAAACGTTGGAGACAGCCCTAAATTTGCCTACATGGCCAGGTCACAGGATCTCCTCTTGTGCATCACAAGTTCCTCCTGCCACATCGCAATTAGCATATTCTCTCCAAGTCTGTAATAATAACAAAGTACATCGTGATTTTTGGCTATTACATTTTAAATTTATTCTTGGTTTAAATACATGTCAAGTTTCATAGAACTGATTTGAAAGTTGTTTAAAAATAGTTGTTCCACATTTTTCCTTTAACATTTCTATTAAATCTGGGAACTACTGCCATTTCTCTTGTTTTCAGCTCTTTATGTTGGCCCTTAGCCCATGCAAAAGCAAATGATGAATACTGGTCACCCCCCCACTTTTCAGATTTTTAGGCTTACTTTCTCTCGCCATACCTTTCTAAAACTTCCTCATATGGGACTACCATTTGCTCCACCTCTGTGGTCTTGACTGACGCATTCCTCGTGGATCCTTTAGTCTTCCTGGTTCACCACAAACTAGATTAGAACCCCACACCCACAGATGAACATGTAGGAGTCAGTGTGCTCTCAAGTCAGTTTTCTACTTCCTTTGCGGTGGTGGCTCTGTAAGTATAACTGGATTTTGTCCTAGAATTCTAGTTTCATTTCAAGATATAATCAGTCCTAAAGTGTGTTGCCTGGTTAAAGCTTCTCTCTACCCCTCAAACCTATAGCACTGGGGCTCTACCTGAACTGTGGAAACTGACTCGCCTACCTATCATAGAAAACATTACCTACCATTGTCTGAGGTCACACGGATCTAGCCAAATTATATGGCCTGTTTCTAGTCTGCTTTGATATACTTCTGGAATGAGTCTTTACAAATATCAGTTCTCAGTATACTTTATGACTAGATGAATTTTTAAAAGGTTTTATTTATTTATTCATCAGAGACACACACACAGAGAGAGAGAGAGAGAGAGGCAGAGACATAGGTAGAGGGAGAAGCAGGCTCCTGGAGGGAGCCGGGATGTGGGACTCTGTCCTGGAACTCTGGGCTCACACCCTGAGCCAAAGGTAGACACTCAATCACTGAGCCACCCAAGCATCCCACCAGATAATTTTTTTTAAAGATTCCAATTATTTATTCATGAAAGACACAGAAAGAGAGAGAGGCAAAGACACAGGCAAAGGGAGAAGCAGGCTCCACACAGGGAGCCCGATGTGGGACTCGATCCCGGGACCCCAGGATCATGCCCTGGGCTGAAGACAGGCACTGAACTGCTGAGCCACCCAGAGATCCCCCCATCAGATAAATTTTATATAAGGTTTTGACACTAGTAAAACAACTGAGCCACAAGCTTGAATTTCTAATGACATACCAATGATGATACCACGTATTTTCTATTGAACAATCACACTGCTTGCATCATCCCTAGCACTCTAATTCTAAAGTTCACCTAATCTTGAGCACAAAGAGGTCAAGTCTTCTCTAAGGAGAATTAAAAATGTACCCACACACTGTAGTATATTTCATGGACTCTGGAAAATCCACTTTAGGTATGGTAGGGGGTATTGAAAATTAGTGAAAGTGCAACACTACATATAGCCTGCTTTTTGATGTATAGAGTATGTTTGTGTATATATACACATTCATACATACTAACTTTGTGAGGCTTAATAGTGATACGTTTACTATCAGTATCACTCCTTTCTAGTAGCCAAGACCTTAGGGACCAAGGATGGCATCTCAGTTATCCTTTCTCAAGTGGCACTTAACTATGCTAGTAATATAGATATCTAGCACACATGAAGGAGAATTACATTTATGTGAAGAGAAAACAGAAATTTGTTAGTTTAGAATAAGAGGATAGAGAAAGTGGTTTGAGTAAAACTCATTTTCCTGATAGCACTTTCCACAGGAATTATTTAATATTCTCTGTCCTATTTCATAAAGTTGACTATAACCCTACTGAATACTTAATTCAGTTAGGTGCAAGGACAAGTTTTTTTGTTTTTTTGTTTTTGTTTTTGTTTTGTTTTTTAACCTTCCTGACACCTTTCCCGGTATATCCACCACTAAAGGACAAGTACATCCCTCTTTTTTTTTTTTTTTTTTTTTTAACCTAGCATCTTTAGTTTTCTGGAGAAAAAGCAGCCCCAAGAAAGTCATGACAGCATTAATAAAATATTTCTTTTGATTAATCTGTTACTTTGGATATGTTTGGTTTGGTAAAGTAGATCATACAACTCAGTTGATCCTTGAGTCTTAGTGTTAATTAAACCATACCCGTCACAAATAATGTGTATCAACTAGTAACACTGGCCAGAGGTCTAGCTTTTGGTATTAAGATATATTTTCACTGGCATTTGGTTTGTTCTTTCATGAAAGCATGGGAGTTGAATTATTTAGTGAAAATACTTATCTACAAGGGCAATTATTCAATTATTTTATGCATCACTGATGGAAGTTAATAAAATGTGCTATTTGTTTTCCTGTCTATTTTGACTACAATTTACATGTTTAGTCATGTTTATGTATTTGAATACTGTTGAACTGATCTGTAATAAAGGCTGAGACTTTATTTTTTTTTAAAGATTTATTTATTTATTCATGAGAGACAGAGAGGCAGAAACAGGGAGGCTCCCTGCAGGAGCCTGATGGTGGGACTTGATCCCGGAACTCCAGGATCACACCCTGAGCTGAAGGCAGATGCTCAACCGCTGAACCACCCAGGCGTCCCAGGACTGCGACTTTAAATGGAGTGTCCTTTTTCACTTTCAATTGATTCCCATGATAGTCTAGCCTGTTCTTATGTACCAAATATTTCTATTTCATAAAATTTAGCATATTCACCATGTTCCTTTCTCCTTCGTTTTTACCTGAACTCAATTTCTCATCCCTCTTTATTTTCTTTAATTCTTGACCCCCTATACTTCTATCGCCATGTACATTTGAGGCTCAAGAATAATACATGATCTCTGCCCACAAGGAGTTTTTAATCCAGTAAGAGAAAAGAAACTTGAATTTTAAAAGTTAATTGACAATCTTCTGACAATAATCTGTATAAGTTCTTTTCATAACTTCCACCACAGCTAGAATACTATAAATATATATATATATTTTTTTTCCTTAAAGTTATAGGGTGAGAGATTTCACATGCCTCAAAAACTAAACAGTATCCTGAGTGAGCACAATAGAATGAATCAAATAAAGCTGACACAGAAAAGATGGTGGAATAAATAGTGTTGTAACATTCCCACTCTCCACACCTAATAAGGCAAACAAGCAAAAGAACAAAAAGTAAAAGTAGCAAAAACAACAACAACAACAACAACAAAAAACACACCAGCATTAATCAAACTAAGGGTAGAAACTCATGAGATGGTTGGAAACTTATTGGCCAGAGACAGAAAAACCATGAACATGGTCACTCTACCTGCCAGTAACATGCTGGTGTACAAGAAGCTGAAGGCAAGGGGAATAAAAATTACTGGCAATCTCCACTCTGCAGTGTGCCTTTCTTTTTAAAAATCTGTTCAAAGTGTTTATATTATACCAGAAAGGATACATCAATTTAATAACTTAAATTCCACTAATAAATTATTATTGACACATTATTGCAATTAAGGAGTTTTTTCAAAGAATATCTTGTTAATCTATTTGGGGGTTAACTCTGTTCTATTGGTTACCTATCAGTACATGACAAATTATCAATGAATTTAGCAGCTTAAAAAAACATCTGTTAGATCATAGTTCCTTGATAGTTCCACAGGTTCAGAAATTTCCATGCATTTTGGCTGGGTCCTTGGGTTCACTGTGTCTCTTAAGTCCAAAATCAAGGTACAAGCTGAGGCTACCATCCTCTATAGTCTGAACTCAGGAAGGAGCCCCTTCCAAGCTCTCTCATGTGACTATAGTCTTAGGTCCTTCCTGCATATTGGTAGGAGGCATCAGTTTCCACCACCCCCTACAAGGACCTCCCCCCTGAGCAGTTCAAACACTGCAGCTGGTTTGTCTCAGAGTGAGAGAGCTGAGACAGAGATTACAGAGATTAGGGAAGGGCACGCCAAGACAAAAGCCGCAACTCTTCACAAATTCATTCTGGGAGAGATAATCCATCACTTTT